AGCCTTATAATTGCTACCTTCATTCTCGTGTCCCATTTCAAATGACAATTACCATCCCTGCTGGGACATCTTTGTCATATATATCATGCCCCACAACCGTGCAATCATTTCACACCTGCTCTCACTTGCATCCCTTCCCTTGCCAGCCTTGTCACCCTTGTTGAGACTTATGAGGCATAGGTCAAATTCTGGTAACATTTTCTAGCCAACTAAAGTGATATTTCTTTCCTCTATAAAAATCTTCCTGATAATCCTGGCAATGTCCAACTTTTCATCTGTGCTGTAGGCTTTGGGGGCATTTACAAATCCAAGTGGCTCTTCATCCCCTGGCCTCTGGAACTATGTACCTACCTCCAAGGGCCGCATCATGCCTGGCTGTTTTTGAAATTTACTCCATTGTCATCATCCTCTGAGATCATGAGTGGACCCAAAAATCCATACTATTCCACTCAGACAATATTACTGTATTCCTAGATATTCTAATAGAGTAACTCTCTTTTTATTTTCCTACAGACATTCAGATGAGAACCTGACTCCATTTTCACCGTTTTCAACAACAACCTTCACCTTATGAATCTGTTTATGAATTTCACCTCTCAAGTCTCCTTCTCTCAACATGCTATCCTAATCAGCATTGCTCCATGCACCTGCTCATTGTGTTGGACAGCCTGTAATGCTTTCTGTTCTTTTAACATTTTATTCTATCTTTCTTTTCCTTCCTTCAGTAGTGTCACATTAACCAGTTTTATCTCCTATGCTTTCCAGTGTTTTGACCATCAAGAGCTACTTAAGTGTCATCCACAAACTAGGGCTGTGAATCAATCAGTCAAATAACTAATTAATCATACATTTTACCATGATTAATCACAATTAATCATGCAAACTTGTGAACTCCTAATCATTTCACCCTCCACCCCCCCTAAAAAAAAATGCTGTTTGAGCAAGTACAAATTGAATTTCTGTGACTTCACAAAAGGTTAGATCAACAGTAGCCAAAAAGCAGAAGATAGGCCAATGTACAACAAATGTAACAAAAATGTTTTTGTTGACATATCTTTCTCAGGTTCACAATAGTTCAGTTTTAACAGCTCACTGTCTGTGAGGTGAAAGTCTTTGCACCATGGAGCACTGAAACTATATTATAATATAACTATAACAATATTTTAAACCCCTCTGAAACTAAGGGACCTACTCCCCCTATACCTTACGCCAGCTACTGAAACAGACCAGTTTACCGACATTATCAGAAGAAAGAGCAGCTTTCTTTTTGGATGATGTGTCCTGAGAGTAAGAACAACCTTTCATAGGGCACTGTGGTTACAAGTTGCAGGTACATACACAGCAAACATACAGGCACACATCATATAGCTACACTCAAAACAAACAGTAACAACTACACTCAAGTGGGGGTTGCACATTTGTCAGAGGAGAGACGGAGACAGAGAATAATTTACCTGCATGGTTCAAGTAGTTCCTCCAACTTCTGCATCTTTTCCAGCTCAAGTTCTGTCAGTATGGGAACTGTTTTGCTGGGCCAAGGTGACTATCAGTGGCAGTTTGTTTCACTGGATCCATTTGATCATCTCCAATGTGGGGTTCCGTCTGGTCATCATGTCTTGAACGAGTGGTTCTTCTTTTTGTTTACATGCAGCACACTGTTGTCTTAATTCTCAAGCATTTGAAGGACTGTGCTTAAAGTGGCCAAAGTGACATTTAGCTAAAACAGAGAAACTGTAACCATCCTCTACAAACTGTCATGCAAGGCAGGTGCTCATATGGAAGTAGTCTTGCAGCTGTTGTCATATTGCAAGCACTCTGTGCCACACATGGTTAACTTTTCTTCAATTTTCCATTCCTCTGCAACAGTCTGCAAATGCTGCGCACATTCCTTAGAGTAGTAGTGCTCTGTAGTTGTACTCACAGTCACTGCAATTGATCACAGATTCTACTCTTCATCAATAAAGTCAACTTGACAATGATGTAGTAGTCAATGTTTACTGATGTCCAATAATCACCTATCAATGCAGCATGCTGAGCTTTCTCCAGCATGTTCATTTTTAGTGCCCTTTTTTGTTGTCATACAGTGTCTCTATTCTTTACATGATGGTTTTACTAGACAGGAAACAATAGGATGAATCCCACGATGCAACTCGAATGACATCCCTCAGACCCTCATCTTATACTGTGTTAACAGGGTGACACGTTTTAGCTAACAAGTTAGCTAAAGCCTCTGTTACTTTGTCACTTGTTTCCTTGGATAATAGTCTACCTTGAGTACCACACTGTAGTAAAATAGCATTGGCGGAGTGTCCCCTGATGTCTCTGCAGTAGCACCCGGATGTTTTGCTCTCAGGTGACACATCAAAGATGAATTACTTTAGTGATAATTAATTTCATCTTTCCAAAATGTGCACACTACTTTTGTTTTTTCCAAAGCACCATGCGGTAAATTCTTAAAGTAGAATTTTCTTCTCCATAACTAGCACAGCAAGGAAGACGGCAGAGGCATTAGCACATAGCCAAAGGAAGTAGCTTCATTCTCAAGAAGACCTTAGGCAGTCATTGCTGCCAAGTACTAAGCGAAAGGTCCAAATACTTGTGCAAATGGGGTATTTCAGTCTTTTATTTTTAATAAATATACAAAACAATCCAAAAACCTGTTTTCACTTTATCATAATTGGGTATTGTATGTAGACTGATGAGAACAAAAACATGAATTGAATCCATTTTAAGATGAGTCTGCAACATAAAAAAATGTGGAAAACTTGAAAGGGTTTGAAAACGCTCCGTACTGAATGTACATCCATGCATTGTCAGACAGCATCATCCAACTCAGAATCTTGCTTAGTTTTCATGCTTAAAAAAAGCAAGACTAACCAAACAGGAAATCCCCTTCTCACTCTGTACCATAAATTAAACTCCCATCAAGCCCCTTCGAGCCTATGGTCCATCATTTTAAGGCATGCTCAGAATGTATCTCAGTTTGATCATCTGTTCACCTCTGAAACTGAACAAGTTTCTCTTTCATCTTTGCCAAGTTCTTACAGCATCAGGGATTTCTTCCACATTGTACTCTGGTCATTCGTTCAGGATCAGAGCCACCACCACTGCAGCCTGCAGCGGAGATCTGGACCACCTTATTCAAACAATAGACCACTGGACATCTCATATCTACTATCCATCCACTCAACCCACAAGACATTTTTAAAGTCCAAGCTTCCCTTCTATTTTAAGGTTTTGGGGGTTCCATCAGGCATGAAGCCATCATAAACCCTTCAAAGCATTCTCAAAAATGCTGTTGATTCTGGAAAGGATCAGAAACCAAGTACCAACAACACCGATCACCCTCAGTCATTTCTCAAATAAAATAATTATCCCATGGAGAGCGTGGTCCTTGCTAATTAAATAATGACTGATTTGGCGGTTCAGGAGCAGGACTATACTTCACAATATGTCCCTTCCTGTTCAAACCCTCCCTCTCCTTTTGGCTTCCACTTTCACTTCATGTATGCTCCCTGCCTTCCAATCTCTGTTATTTTCCTCCCTCTCTTCTTCCTTCTTTCTTCCAAGGGGTTCTGCTGAACAAGAAGCAGTCATGGACCCTCCAAAGACTCCCTATAGCACTGTCAATGTTATGAAGTACCAAGGACACTCATTGCCCCCAGTCATTTCTCATGAAATAATTGTTCCACATTTCATGGTGGAAATGAGAAACCAGGTGACTACAGGCAGCCACAACATGACTAAAACCAGTCAGTTTAAAGCCATGATGATGATGGCAAGCTGTTGTGTGTGTGTGAAACAGCACACAGATCCACTAATCCTGTGTTTGTGTAGTTCATGTTTTTTGCATTATCATGGATACAAGCACTGACTCTACCTCCCAAGCCCTCCTCATCAGCAGCCCTCAGAGTAGCATCAATGTTTTCAGCAGTGTGTCTCTCATGTGTGCTGCGAATGTGGAGTACAAAACCATTTTCCAGTTACCGTTGATATAATGGCAGATGACAGTGACCTATGACTCCGACGTGAGAGCTGTCCATGCTTCGGTTTTTATTGCTACTTTCTTGGTTTCCATCAGTCCTTTTAGAGCAGTAGATGCTTTATTGTACTTCTCAGTTTGCTCGGTAATTGTCTTTCATGAAGGCATGGCATATTTGGGTTCTGTAAACTCCATCAGCCTTTGAAACTTCACTCCTGAACTACAGGTCAGTTTAGCTCTGGTTGACATTTGCAATGAACATAATTTCTTTTTTCACTTTGTGGATGTGTCACAGTCCAAAATAGCTAAGTATGCTGTACTTGTATACACATGCAAATATAAAAATATAATACCAGAGTGCATAAAGTTTGGATGGGGGGATGCAGCATGATCAATTTGCAACTGGGAGAGCAGCATTCTTGATGACACCATCAGCTCAACTCAGCTCTAAGGACCACACTTCATCACAACTGTACTTTTTTTGTATTGTGACAAAATAATCTCAATTACAAGGTCCACTAACAATTAAAAGTAAAGGTTAGATTTTCTGGGTGCAAAAAGATGAGAACACGAAGAGTTTCACTGCTTGGTTCAGGTAACTACACACTTGAAGAGGGAGAGGCTCATTTTCAGGGAACCGAGCTGTGTGTCTGAGGTAATTTGTGGATAGTAACTAATACTTTATCACATTAATTATTATATCTACTACTGAAGCACAATGAGCACTTGGTAACAGATGCACCAGGAGCATAGGTCATGTTGATTCTAAAAAACAGTGAATGTGTGTTTCTAGTCACTACATCAGATACTTTAAGATAGTGTTTTTTAGCAGATTTAATGCCAGTATTACTACAATACAAATTTAAGATAAAAAGTCAATTAAAATTAAAACGGGTTGTACCTTCATTTTTTTGGTCTCAGCACGGCTCTTATAGCAGAACTCCACCAGTGCCACCATCATGGCCAGACCCAGACCGCCAACCAGGATGTAGAAGACTCCTGCTACGTTACTAAGAGAGAGAGCACTGGTCTTCTCCTAGTACACACACACACACAAGACAAAAAGAAAAAAGAGGGCATCCCCCAAAGAAAAGTGGGGTTAGTGGGGTGTATTATGTCTCAACTAAATTTAATACTTGACACACTACCAGTGAACCTGTTTCTCCTTATTTGCCATCATAAAACTAAACTAACCTGTCATCTGCATACACTTAATTCATCTTAAATATATGGATTACGACAACACAGTCACAGACACATAGGCTAAGCCTCACATGCATACATGAAATATTCTTGCCCTTTATCAGTTTGTCTGTGTGTAAATCAGTATAAATGAGGTATTTACTACCTTTGGTGAGAGCCCATTGTTAAAGAGTTAGTAAACTGATAACACTCAATGTGACTTTCAAGTTCTGTCTGCAGACAGCTGTGGCCATTTCATTTCAGTGAGCTCTGATAATGAATGCAAGTTAAAATGTTCAGTTTTAAAGTGTGAGTGTTAAACTATATGGCTATTTTAAAGGCTTCATATCAATATAGTGCAATGCAGAACAAAATGGCCAAACAGTTTAATCAACATCTCTCTGAAAGAGAAAACAAAAACTGAAGGAGGATTCACTGCCAGACTGTTGGATTAGACTGCATTAGTTTTAGATAGCTGTAATTAATAAACTGCCAACTGAGTAGGTTTATGTAAAAACATAAAAATAACTGTGTGGGAGATATAGCCCTTATGTAACTGGATCCTTGACTACTAAATGTTTCTTATACAGCTGTCTGTTGTTAATTCATGCATAAAACCAGCTCACACCAGACTCAGAACTTATGGAGACTGAGATTTGCCTTCTGGATTGAGCTCTCAGAAATCTGAACTGAATGTTATGATCTAACAGAAATCTTCATCAGGTACAGAACAACTGAACTCCACAAAGCAGAACAGGTGGTATAAAAAAAAAAAACAAAACACAATCATCACTCATGTGGTTGTGATGTACATGACTGAAAAACAATCTACTTTCTGACTGGACCAACCAGAATAGACCTGAATAACATGTGGTTCTCCCATATGGGGACAAAATATGCCTGTGTGAAGAGGAAAAATATAAAGAATACATTAAATATCTCACACAAGACAAATAAAAAAACTATACCTCAAAAGGTAAGACAGTGTACTCTGTTCCTATGTGGGAGAATTATGCTTTATTTCATTAGCATACAGTTCAGAACATTATTTCAAGTCCGCTCCACCTATTGCCATGGCCAAAATCACTGAAGGGTGTGGTTGGCTGTGGTCACCAAGTGTGCTTTGTTGCACCTGTAACTACACTCAGCAATGATGTCACGGGGTCCTGGAGAACACTTGTACATCACTTTAGCAAGGTGAGAAATTAAACAATGGGAGCTCAGTAAAGACAAGAGTTTAAACTGCTGTCAAGCTCATCCGTCATCACCACCATGGTAGTGCACCATACTGGATATATTTACTTCAAAGGTACCCTGTGGAGACTAAAGGCCAACTATTTGAAAAAAATCCTTTCCAAAAATTTTTACAACCCAAGAAAAAGTTGGGACAGTAGGTAAAATAAAACTTAAAACTGGAAATAGTTATGTGTAAATCATCTGTGTCCTGTATTACATTGGAAACAATTCAGCAGAACATTATCTGATGTGATACCTCATCAACATTATCTCATCATCTCATCTCATTTTCTATACCGCTTAGCCCTGAACGGGGTTGGGGGCAAAGGTCTCTGATGGTGCCATTAATGTTGAGATTTTGGAGCAACATAGCTCACACAAAACCTCACGCAAGACGACATCTTTTTCAGGGACACCCATGCATATTTCAACAAGACAATGCAGAACCTCAATACTGCACATTACCAAGGCCTGGCTGTGAGAAGGAAAAGGGTGTGAGTGCAGGACTGGCCTGCCTGTAGTCCGGACCTGTCCCCAATATGTGTGATGCATTTTGAAACGCAAATTGTGTCAACAAAGACCCAGGACGGTTGTGCACCTTAAGACTTGTTTGCAGGAAGAATGGGACAAAATGACACTTGACACATTTAATGACTTGGTGTCCATGGTCGCTAAATGTCTTTTAAATGTTGTGAAAAGGAACAACAGCATCACACTGTGGTAAACTGTCCCAACTTTTTTTAGAATGTGTTGCAGCATCAGAAATGAAGTGAGTGTTTATTTTGAACAAAGAATGAAACTGATGAGGTATCACATCAAATAATGTGCTGTTGTGTTGCTTTCAATGTAACACAGGACACAAAAGATTTACACATCACTATTTTCAGTTTTAAGTTTGATTTTACTGTCCCAAATTTCTATGATTTGGGGTTGTACAATGTTCTGAAACAGACAATGCAACAATTACACCTACTGAAATTATGTTTTGTTATCCTCATTGTGTCTGTCAAATGGGTAATGGGAGGCTTTTCATGCTGCCTTCCAGTATGGCTATTCAGAACAGGTATAAAGACGATTAACTTTAGATGTATTTGGACAATATGTCATATGATCTGGTTCTTTCAAAGCATAGGGAGGTATTCAACCAAAGCAGTGAGCTATGAATGAGCAGAATGCATTTCCTTCCTTAAAAAAGAAAAATAAATCTGCAAAGCTGATTTTTGAATATTTCGAGAACCTGCATTTTCTACATCCAGGTTTGCTAGCTGGCAGCAGTCATTGTGCACATGCTAAAGGGTAGGTCAAAGCAATTACATCTGTTCATGGGGGCTGGCCACCCATGTATCTGGCTGGCTTATCATGCATGGCTATGCTCAGGAGCCTTTCACAGAGCATGCAGCTTCCCCACAACATCAGTTGCCATTCAGATAGAAACAGCATAGACAGTTCCCCCACTTCATGCTGAGATAGCATCTAGCCCTCACTTGGCATGTAGAAAATCTGCCTTTCAACTGCATCTCAGTCATCATGTGATCTAAGTGTGGACATTAGCTGACATTCCACACTTAGGTTACCTGATTCTGACACCTGAACCACTTCCACTTGTGATCCACTTATAAGAACATGAGATCTATGGGCTTTGAATATTTTTGTTTGTTAGCACAGTTCTGTCTGCCTGTTCACCTGCTAGCTATTGCACCACAGAATCAGCTATCTGTGACCTGCTGATAGTTTTAAGGTAACACTGAGATCTTTGCTAGAAGCAGACTTGCTTGATAAACCATTGAATCATAGGGAACTAAATACAAACTGCATAACCATCATCTTCCTTCCATCTGCCTTCAACACATGATATCTATACATTGTATTATGGTAATGGGGGTTCTAGGACCTTCTAATAATAAATACTCATCTCACCATTTTACTGTACATCCTTCTCCCTGTCATCACAAATTTAGCTGCTGCTTCATTAACTCATCTATTCAATCGCTCCTTCTCATACAGTTCAGTTGTTGTTCTTCTGTTATTGGTTATTCACATGTAAGTCAGGCAAATAAAAGAGGCCAAGGGCATTAATAAATAAACTGATCTAAACAGAGTGTAATACATATAATACACGCACTTCATCCTGTAATCAACATTCAACCTCCTGGAACTGCACTGAGAGCAGTGCATTCTCTACAAGAGGTCAGTTCCCTCTGAGGGGTATGGGTACAGAAAATAAATAAACAGATTGTTTTGATTTAACCAGCCAACCCGCATAAAAGTCCTTAACCTAAAGATATTGTTATGCCTTTCATTGACTCATGTAGCAATATCAGCTTTCTTGTGTATACTGTGTGATCACTGTAAGTAAATTTCCATCTTGTACATTATAGACATCATCTTGAAAACTCATAGTTTAAACAGGGTTTCTGACAGACAGGCAGACAGACACAGATGGACAGACAGACTTTAACTTCTGTGTTAAAACAGACTGAATGTTCAATAAATAGCGAAACAGTGAAAAAGTGTAGCTTATACACACCAAATTAAATCTTTTGAGCTTATCTTGAGAAATTCCACTGTATTCTTAAGACAGCACTTGTTTTCTTCTTATTAGCATTATACTCACAGTTGTAACTAACCTGCATTGATCAGTTTAAGTTTTACACATACATATACATAGCACTACTGTAGTCTTTCTTTTCCTGATATATGTATAAAACCAAGCTTACTGTGCATGTTAAATACATGAACAGACAATGTTTGTTTGATCCACAGACATAAACAACTAACCTTATTGGTGGAGTCCTTGAAGCCACACTCTCCTTTATCGTACCACCACTTGTTTTTCATCTTGTCTAGGGTCCCTTGCTCATTCAGTTTCAATACGGCAAGGTTTACTGGCACTCTTCAATGGGAATAACATAAATAACATCATTATAAATGTTATCTTATGTTATTATTGGGGCAGCGGTTCTCATACTCTGGCCTTGCAACCATGACAGGGCCTGCTCACGTTATCTGTTATGAATTATACAACCTGTTTGGCTTTACAATTTTTCACCACATTATTTTCAATTTAAAGACCTACAAAATGTGTGATTTGTTCATTTTGTAGGAGAGAAAGTCTTTAAGCAAATATTAAACTTTTCTCTACATCTATTACCAAATGCTTAATGCTAACAGGGTCCCTCTGGCCCCTGAGACAGAGAATGAGAGACGCTGCAGTGAAAAGCCTTTCTGCTTTTTCAGCTGCAGTATTCCTCCAAACCAGAGCCACAGATAAACAGAGTTTGTCCAGTTTGCACAAACTCTTTATCAATAGCCCTTCTCTTGTACTGTTGCCACCATCTGGTGTGAGGTCACCTGACCCTGGGCTTGCCCCTGAAGCCTGCCCTATCCCTGACCTCAACCAAACAGGGTGCAACACCATCGGTGGAAGAAGCAGCAAAGGATACAATGCTACCTGCTGGCAGAGCTTATCAGCAACTGCTAAATCTAGTGTCCATATGCAGCATTTATGAGTATTAAACGCTATTTGAAATGCTACAATTTGACAATGCTACTATTGCGAGCTTGCATTCACATGTGGCATTGTAACTCTGCTACTTCTTTAAGATTTTCTTTATGTGGGATTCTCATGTGGGATCACCCAGTGTTACCTTTATGTTCATGTAATTTTGTGTGTTTTAGTGTGTGTGTATTAACCTTGCTCTCCCCTCCTCCGCTGCCGCATTCGCCCTTGTCATACCACCACTTGTTTTTCAGTTTGTCCAGCAGCCCCTGCTCGTTCAACTTTAACACCGCCAGGTTCACCGCATTTCTACATGAACACAGTGGCTGTTAGCAGTTTGGTTGTTGTCAGTGTCAGTTGTCCTGCTGGTATGTATATTAGCAGCATTAATTCTTAATCCATAGCATGAACAGAATACACACAGCTGGAAAACTCCCCCCTTTTTAAGCATCGAACTCATCAGTATTACTGTAGATAGGATTAGCTTTAATATGTCTTAGTAGCTATGCCCAGCCTGCTAAATAACCATGGAAAAAACAATGGTAATATTTTTAAGTCAGAATCACCTGATATATGAATCACCATATAGAGAGGTTTTGGTTCTAATAGCCAGTTCCAAATCATTTCTCTCTTAGTCCATTTAATTAGCAAACAATGCAATGCAAATCATTCATTTTTGCTATTACTAGCACTGACCATTGTTTTTTCCATTGGAAAAGTGAAAAGTTGCCAGTTGTAATTTATATAAAATACAGTGTAAGCATCCTACATTATTTGCCAAAAGGCCAAAGTAAAACTTTGCTCCTATCTGGTTAATCTGCTGTCTGCCGTGTTTTCTGTAATGCTGGTCATCAAATCTATCTATGAGATCTGGGACTCCATAATCTGGTGACATCACAAAAAATGGTCTAAACAGATCAAAATCAGGACTTCCAGTGAGATTATCCAGGTAGTTGGTGGTGGGACAAGCTACTGCTACAAACTACATTTGGTTTGTATTCTTAAAATTCTAATGTTTTCATTTGACTAAACTACAAAGTACATCTAGTTTGTCCCCATTTGTAAAATGTTCTCTTTCTAACATCATCCTGTGTTTTCACTATGGGAATTACCTTGAAGCTCCAATGACATCACTTCTGTTGGTGACAGACCTTTTAAAGGTCAAGGTCACATCTGTCCCATTTTCGTGAGTGCGATATCTCAGGAACAACTGATGGTATTTATTTAAATCTGGCACAAACATCCATTCTGATTCAAGGACAATGTCCTTTGAACTCCTCTGTAAAAATTGCCTCTAAATGAAGACTGCGTGTTTCTCACTGACAATTAATTACTATAATCAATGAACATGTCAATACATATAGTGCTACTTTCCATTTTGCCAAAAACATACACTTAACATTGTTCACTAAATTCCTGTAGTCTTCAGTACATACATATACTGTTGCAGGAAAAAGTAAGAGCACTGTAATTCCATAGTTTTCTGCATCACTTGACCATGAAATGTGAACTGATCTTCATCAAAGTCACAAATATCAACAAACAATATTTCTAAGCTGATAAAACACAAACAGTCATGATCCTTTATGTCTTTATTGAACATACCCATAAAACATGCACAGTGATGGTTGAAAAAGTAAAGGCAATAGTGTTGAATCACCTTTGGCAGCAATAATTTCAAGCAAGCTCTTCCTGTAGCTATGGATTAAACCTGTATAACATTCAGGAGGAATTTTGGACCACTCTTCCTCATAGAACTGCTTCAACTCAGCCATATTCTTAGGACATCTGGTGTGAAGAACGGCTCTCTTGAGGTCATTCCACAGTACCTCTATTGGGCTGAGGTCTGGGCTCTGACTGATCCACGCCAAAAGGCGGATTTTATGTCTCTGCTGCATCACCCAGCTTGTCCTGAGCTTCAGCTTGCAGACAGCCACCCTGACACTATCCTGTAGGATACATTGATAAGCTTTCCACAGTGGAAAGCGGTCCAGGTGCAGAGGCAGCAAAGCAGCCCAACATCATGATGCCCCCTCCACCGTACTTCACTGTTGGGATGATTTTTTCATGTTGGTAACGCAGTTCTTTTCTCACACTATATCTAGTGCTGCAGATTCTTCTCAAACAATTCTACCTTCATTTCATCTGTCCACAGGACATTTTCCCAGTAGTGTTGTGGCGTGTCAAGGTGGTCCATGGTAAACCTCAGGCATACTGCAGTGTTGTTTTTGGATAGCAGTGACTTCATCGATGGTGTCCTGCCAGAGATACCACACCTGTTCAGTATTTTGTTGTATGGTTGACTCATGAAAAGAGACTTGAACCAACTCCAATAAATCCTTCAAGTCTTTAGCAGTTACTGTATAGTTCTTCTTTGACTCTATTGAGCATTCTGCATTGTCTCTTTGGAGTGATCCTGGCTGGGTGCCCACTTCAGTGGAGAGTAGCCACAGTACCAAATCTTTTCCATTTATAGACAGTGGGCCCTATTTTGTCAGGCACAGCAATCAAGGTGCATACAGGATGTGTTCAGACCACATAGTATCTACATCAGGCAACTGCTTTAAAAGGACTTAATCTCTTAATTAACATATGTGTTTTTTGTGGGTTTTTTTGCATTACATGCAATAGACCAATCAAAATGCCATCTCCCACTCCTTCTAAAAGGCTGTTGTGCTGGTACCATGGCGGATAGCTATTATGAAACTGGATTTACCTGGAGGAAGACAGGAGTGATTTAAATATGTACTGTACCGAGCCACAATTATACATGTGCGTATTACTAACTTGATTCAGCACCTTTAAAATGCTGAACTTAGACAAGTTTTTTGTTGGTCACTGCCGCAACTTCTTATTGCATCCTCAAGATACTAAGTGTGCCAAAATGCCTACAAAGGCCCCTTGTTTACATTGACACTCCCACGTGGACAAAAGTGTATGCGGTATTTTGATGGCATGGGTGCTAGAAGGAAAAAAGGACACTGCATCAGGTGCAAGATAGGAAATTACACTTTTACAAGGGACTGTACGCCTGGCGCTGGGTGGAAAATAGAGGCCGGTATGTCTAACTGTGGACTTGTGAATATCTAAAGTCTTTGAGGTGACTTTGTGACCAAGATATTCTGTGGGTGACCAGCCTTTCTGTTCTTGTTTATCATGATGTTATGTTATGAACTGTGTGCGATGGTTTGAGAGACTTCTGCAAACGTGCCTTTTTGAATATTGCTCTTTGAGTTAAAAGGGCTACTTTGTTTGTAATACCTGATGTTTTGGTAACTTGGTTGGCTTCATCCACTCTTTGTTTTGAGCTCTTCCGGGTTGGACTACTGTGAACCATTTCCTCAAAGCAGAGCTCTTGAGAGTTAGGAATCTACCCTGTTGCTGTGACCTTCCTGCGGCACTGGATCTCTGCCTCCAGCCCTCATCACGTCATTCGACTACCTGCTCTGCCGTTCCTCTGTCAGCCTGACCCCCAACCTTCCCCAGTGGTTCTGCACACTGGACCACTGCACACTGATCTCCTGCACCAGCATCGACCCACCTGGACTGCTTCCTGTGCCTGCAGCAAACTCCGGCCGAGAGCCGATATACACTGATGTTCATGTCCTCTGGCTGAACGCTACATATAGTCTCTGTCTTAGTATTCCGGTTACCCTCTCTCATACTCCCCTTCTCTGTTCTCATTCAGCAAGCTGCACCTCTCATTCAACCCTGGGTTACGCCTATAGCAGTCCAGTCAACACAGCATCCCCAGCTGCCCCGAGACCGGCTGAAGAGCTGGTTCTGTCTACTCCTCCTGTCTACCTTCATTAAATTCATTTACCTTGTTAAGCCTCAATCCGAGTCCTGCATTTCTCTGAGTCCGTACTAACACTGAAATATGGCTTGCTGCAACAGTGATGGTGGAAAAAATTATGGAAACAGTGTTTTAATAACTGGCTGAACCAGCTTTGGCAGCAATAACCTCAACAAAGCTCTTCCCATAGCTGTGGATTAGACCTGCACAATGTTCAGGAGGAATTTTGGACCATTCTTCCTCACAGAACTGCTTCAGTTCAGTCGTATTCTTAAGACGTCTGGTGTGAAGGGCTCTCTTGAGGTCATTCCACAGAATTTCTATTGGGTTGAGGTCTGGGCTCTGACTGGGCCACTCCAAAATGTGGATTTTGTGTCTCTGAAGCTGTTCTGTAGTAGATTTACTTTGATGTTTAGGGTCAGTGTCCTGCTGCATCACCCATCTTGTTCTGAGTTTCAGCTTGCAGACAGCCTCCTTGACATTATCATGTAGGATACCTTGATAAATTTGGGAATTAATTTCTCCTCTGCAATGGCAAGCAGTCCAGATCCAGATGCAGCAAAGCAGTCCCAAATCATGATCCTCCCCCTACCGTATT